GAAATCAAAGTCAGCCAAAGTACCAGCTTAACGTTTTATTTTTTGTTATTTTACTACAATTCCCTATTTAGTGAATACAACCCTCTGTGTTGTAAATACGAGTGTGGGGAAAATGTTTGCAAAATTAAAAAAGGTATAAAATGTGGTGTTCCTACCTAAACGCTTTGCTTGAGATCTGGAAAGAGATCAGAGCAGACAGGACAGGCGAGTTAGCTATTAATATATTATCAGCTCCAGCAGCTGCAATGCATGGCGAGTGAATCTGCGGACTCTAAAGAATTAGCTGTCCGCAGTTTTTAAGTTCTCCTGTGTCTTGTCCCTGTCCATTCCATTACACAATTTTGTGACCTACTTTAAAATTAATATTCCATTGCTTTATGCATATTAGATTTATTAAACTGCAACTGTTGTATACATAATAAATGCCGCTAACATTGAAAACAAAAAATAAATAAATCCGTTTTTAATAAAAAAAGTGTGAATCATTGTGAATTGACCAGACAATTGTAAAACTTATAATAAACATCAAACCATAGCACACCAATGTCATTATGGCATTAAGTGTTTATTGATACAAAAATAGCAATAACATAAATGTGATAACACCATAATAAGCAGTTATATATTCCAATGTACAATATAAGTATATGTGCAAGCTGTACATAAACCATAAGATTACCAATATTACCTGAGCTACACTGACCAAGAGAGAAAAGACCACAGCTTTAACTTTTTGGCTTTATTCCTTTCTCAAGAGGATCTCAAATTTGCATTCTTTGTACTTCGCTGCAAACCTTGTGTCTAAAGACTTTGAAAGTCCTCCCCTTGTAACTCCGCCCAGACTCTCTGAGGCTGTCCAATCACAGACTTCCCAATGCAGCTCAATGAGAAGTCTTTGCAAGGCAGGTGGTCTAGATCTAGACAATTGCTGCCTCTTCAGTTAGGTGCAAATAAGCTAACCAAACCAGGAAGTAACAGGACCTGTTGCCTACTTTAAACGTCAGGGGAGTGTAACCAGTATCATTCAAAAAAGTGTAAATTTTGATTTAAAACACACTCTTCACACATAAAGCTTTTCAGCAAGATAAAGAGTTTTAGAGGTCTGAAGTGTCATTGCTTTTTTTTGTATCAATAAACACTGTGATAATGACATTGGTGTGCTATGGTTTGATGTTTATTATGTTTTTGCTATCCTAAATAGGTGATTGGAATTTCCATTGAGAGAATCTATTTGTATTTAGCAGTAAACCCCGGCAGTTGAGAGCTACCTATTACTTTAAATATATACTTTATGCCAAAATAGCTTATTTGGAAAAGTTATCCAGCTCAACTATTTTCCAGCTGAATAATATGCCCCAAACTTTGTAATTCCATAATCAGTTTCTGAATATTCAAATTAAGTGAATATTTCAGAAAGTATTTATTTAAACCCACCCCTTTATAGGTACAAATGCCATGTAAGCAATGTTATATAATGAAAATATACAGGTGATACTCGAAAAATAAGAATGTTGCGCAAAAGTTAATTTATTTTTTCAGTAATGCAACATAAAAGGGGAAACTAATATATGGGATAGACGCATTACATGCAGCGCAAGATAGTTCAAACCGTGATTTTTCATTAGTGCGATGATTATGGCTTACAGCTCATGAAAACTCAAAATCCACAATCTCAGTAAATTAGAATATTACATGCAATCAATAAAACAAGGAGTGTACATAGAACAATATCGGACCTCTGAAAATTATAAGCATGCATATGGACTCTGTACTTTGTTTGGGCCCCTTTTGCAGCAGTTACTGCCTCAATGTGGCGTGGCATGGAAACTATCAGCCTGTGGCACTGCTGACGTGTTATGGAAGACCAGAATGCTTCAATAGTGGCCTTCAGCTCAACTGCATTGTTCGGTCTCATGTCTCTCATCTTTCTCTTGGCAATGCCCCATAGATTCTCTGTGGAGTTCAGGTCAGGCGAGTTTGCTGGCCAATCAAGCACAGTAATTCCACGGTCATTGAACCAGGCTTTGGCGCTTTTGGCAGTGTGCTGGAAAATGAAGTCAGCATCCCCATAAAGCTCGTCTGCGGAAGGAAGCATGAAGTGCTCCAAAATCTCCTGGTAGACGGCTGTGTTGACCCTGGACTTAATGAAGCACAGTGGACCAACACCAGCAGATGACATGGCTCCCCAAATCAACACAGACTGTGGAAACTTCACACTGGACTTCAAGCATCTTGCAGTGTGTGCCTCTCCATTCTTCCTCCAGACTCTGGGTCCTTGGATTTCCAAATGAGATGCAAAAGTTGCTCTCATCAGAAAAGAGGACTTTGGACCACTGAGCAACAGACCAGGTCTGTTTTTCTTTAGCCCAGGTAAGACGCTTCTGACGTTATTTGTTGTTCAGGAGCGGCTTGACAAGAGGAATACGACATCTGAAGCCCATGTCCAGGATCCGTCTGTGTGTGGTGGCTCTTTATGCACTGACTCCAGCCTCAGTCCATGTGAAGAAAACCCCTGTTTTATGGACTTAGTTTGACTGTTTTGTTCCACCACCCCACTCTTAGAACACCAGTTTAAACCCTTAATAACTGTCATATTTTCAAACTCTGTCTGACCCTTTTTACTGTCAGTTTGTTTTCCTCAGAGCAGGAGTGTTTTTACTGCATGAATACTTTTGTTTTGTGTGGCATTAACACCTTAAGGATGGAGCCAAATGTACACGTTGTGAACGAAACAAAATGTAAACAAAACCTGGCAATTGCACTACATGTCTGTCCAACCGTAATTCACCTCTTTCATATTAAATGCACCCACCCTTATTATATATCATTTTATTCAGGGGAAACAGGGCTTTCATTTAATATCAAATATTTAGCTATGAAACATAATTTAATATGAAAAAAATGGGAGAAGATAAGATTTTTTTAAATTTTTTTTTAGTTCTACATGACATTTTAACTGTCAATGTCATAATACTGTTTGCTTTTACTGCAATAAAATACACATATTTGTATTCAGCAAATGTCTCACATGTAAAACAGTACCCCCTATGTACAGGTTTTATGGCGTTTTGGGAAGTTACAGGGTCAAATATAGCACATTACATTTGAAATTGAAATTCACCAGATTGGTTACGTTGCCTTTGGGACTTTATAGTAGCCCAGGAATTAAATTTACACCCATAATGGCATACCATTTGCAATAGTAGACAACCCAAGGTATTGCAAATGGGGTATGTCCAGTCTTTTTTAGTAGCCATTTGGTCACAAACACTGGCCAAAGTTAGCGTTAGTATTTGTTTGTGTGTGAAAAATGCAAAAAACGCCAATTTTGGCCAGTGTTTGTGACTAAGTGGCTACTAAAAAAGACTGGACATACCCTGTTTGCAATACCTTGGGTTGTCTACTATTGCAAATGGTATGCCATCATAGGGGTAATTTTCATTCTTGGGCTACCATAGGGTCTCAAAGGCAACGTAACCAATCTGGCGAATTTTAATGTGAAAAAAATGAAACACAAGCCTTATATTTGACGCTGTAACTTTTGAAAACACCATAAAACCTGTACATGAGGGGTACTGTTGTACTCGGGAGACTTCGCTGAACACAAATATTTGTGTTTCAAAACAGTAAAAAGTATCGCAGGAATAATATCATCCGTGTAAGTGCTGTTTGTGCGTGAAAAATGCAAAAAAACTTCACTTTTACTGGTGATATCATCGTTGTAATACATTTTACTGTTTTGAAACACTAATATTTGTGTTCAGCGAAGTCCTCCGAGTAGAACAGTACCCCCCACGTACAGGTTTTATGGTATCTTGGAAAGTTATAGGGTTAAATATAGTGCTAGCAAATTAAATTCCCTTTACTTTCGGCATGGTTTGTCAGGCAGGTCCCGCTAATTGTAATTAATTAAGATACCCAATTATGTAAAATGATTACATAAATATATATGTAGAATTAATATATGCATATATATACGTATGTGAATATATATGTATATATATATATAATTTTTTTAAAATATTTTTATTTATATATAGGTATATATAGTGATATATATGTATATATTTATGTATATAGATATATATATTATTTCATTCTACGTGTATTTTGATATAAATATATATTAATATCACAAAACAGTTAGAACGATGTGAACACACATCTATATATTTTTTAATTATTTGTTTTTATTATTTTTTTTATTTTTTTTACGTATTTACATATTTAATTTTTTTATATTATATATAAATATATATATAACAATAATTATATATATATATATTTATATATATATATATATATAATCAGTATCAGTCTACGTGTAATTTGATATTAATATATATATATATAATTATATAAAATACACCTATACAGTGTACGTGTGTGTATGTATATGTGTATATATATACTTAGATCATAAATATATGTAATATATATATATATATGATCTAAGTATATATTTTTTTTTACACTTTTAACTTTTTTTAATTTAATTTTATTTTTATTTTCAGCCAGCAGGGGGACCACCTGTCATTACAGGCAGCCCCCCTGCTGGCAATGCAGGAGGCAGCTATCCCGGCCATGTGATTGTGAGGTCCTCGTAAGGACCTCACTCTCACATGGCCGGGGGGACTTCCAGGGGGTCGGACGTGCCGCGGGGGGCTCCCTGGGAGTCCCCCCAACCGCGATCGCCGGTGTGGGATCAGAAAGACCGGAGGGTGTACTATTACGCCCGGCGGCGTTTAGAGCCGCTTAAAATAGGGCGTAATAGTACGCCCTTCGGTCTTAAGGGGTTAAACATATATCTACCCAGCATGAAGCCTCGGCTCATGTGTGAGCAGTTATGCTATGCTTGTGCCTGGAAGGATTATTCGCTAACTACTGGGAGAAAGGGAACCAAAGATGGTCAGAGAGGGTTGGACCGTCACAATTGGTGGCAGCGGCGGGTTCGTCCCTTTCTCATGAATTTATAATTAAAGGCTGAACCTGGAGTATGCATGAAAGCTTACTACAACCAGCTCAAGCGCAACACTCTGAAAGACTTATTGCAGGTTCAAGGGGGCAGCGGCAGCAATAAGACCAAGAGCTGTATTGTAAGCGAACTAATGGAGCTGGACAGGGAAAGCATGGCTGCGGCAACCCCAGCTGTTCATGCAGAAGAAAGCGAAGTGGACCGAGAAATAAGGGAACGGCTGGCGCTGTTTGGGCCAAACCCTGCGCCAGAAATCATCCTTCGCATAATTGACAATGCGAATGAAAATGCAAATAAGCGACGGGAATTACAAATCCGCTTAGAGGAAGCGCAGAGAACTACAGCGGTCGCACCGAGCAGTTCCAGCTTTAACCCCGAACCGCGGAAAATTCCCTTCAGCGCATTCAAAGCATTTGAGGAGGCTACAGACGAGATTGATGTTTCATATCTGAAAGACTGCATTTATTAAAAGTAGAAAGAAAATGTTTACTAAAAAAATGGTTTAAGAATTTTTTCAATTCACATTAATTCTTGCATTTTCCACTACCATTTCTTATTCTTAAATTTGTCCAATTGTTATTTAATAAATAAAACCCAAGTTATATTAAAAAATAATAATTAAAATATACAATTTGTTTGTGTTTGAACAGCCCTACAGAATTTTCTGGTGCTTTATAAATATTATTATTAATAATAATAATAATAAAAAAGTGGTATTAAAAAACCTCTCTAAAAGTCTAGTGGATATTTGGCTTTTACCGCAGGCAAAGCACAATCATGAACAAAAAGAATTTTACATTAATGACACATTTTTTATCTACTGTACAGAATCAATAAAAAGAATATTGGATGGGATGGATGCAATAAGAACTATCGACCTTAAACAAATCACGGGTTCCTTGTTGATGTTTTCCTAGGTTTAGAAAACATGTTGTCAGACTGGAATGGAATTGCTCAGAATGGTCGGTATTCAAGGCTTGTATTTCTAGATAAGGTTCACTCACTGAGGAAGATTAGCTCCTCTACCTTTACGTAATGAAGGTCACAGACGCCTGCGAAAGGCATGATGGTCCAGTGTATCCGATCACTATCAGCAGCTTACCCCTTTGGCAACCGTTAATGAATTACAGAATGGTTCAGTAGTTAAAGGTTTGACTTCTTTTAAAATTAAACAATTCATCAATGTAATAGGGATGAAGGAGGTTGGGACCTGAAGTGTGCAGATTTAGCGAGGTCAGTAACGGCGCAGTAGAGGTGACGAAATGCCATTTAATCTGGAATTACTGTTAAAAAGAGCAAAGCCAAACAGTGTCCTTGACAGCAGAATAGGCATGTCCTGTGAAGTGCAAAAGAACCTGTTCTGCTATAGGCGACTGCATTGGAGCGAGACAAAAAGGGCATACACCTGTCAGACTTTATTTTATTAACTCATCAAATACTACACTGGCAGGCATCATGCAATCTGACAATTCATTACAAGTCAGCCCTATCTCTATCACAACATCAGCAACAATAACTGCAAGCAAAATAAAGTAGCATTGATTTACAAACAGGGGATAGTTATAGGAGCGCTAAGAGATCTGGGGCTACATTTTGGCTGTACCCAACGCATGCTGTCTTATCCCCAACGCATGCTGTCTTATCCATAACTGTCACTAAAGTCTTACAAATGTTGGTATAATTCCATGGTGGTTCCCTCCACACCAAAAATCTGTATTTACAGTATTTACAGCTATACCTACAAGTTAGTAAGTAGATTAAACTAGGTTAGAATTAGTTATTGATCTTATGGGCATATTGATATAAACTGATTTATATAAAGATAATTTCCATGACTGTATCATGAATGAATTCTAAGTTTGTAATTATTATTGTAATCATTAAATTAAATTGTTTAGAGGAAGACCAATGGCAGTGTAACCACAAGTGGTTATGGTGGTAGGATAATGTTCACGCAGTCTGTCCTTTCAAAAGTATTGGTTAAATAACAGAATAGAGCTTTAAACAGTACCTGTAACTCTGCCTACAAACCCCATCAGCCAAGGAGCTGACACATCCTTGCACTCATACTAGTGTGCAGAAGCTTATGTTAGCTCTTCTCAGCTAAGCTCTGTAGTACAGGCCTAGCTCATTGGATGAGAGTGTATGGTGACTGCACTGCAGAGCTTAGCTTAGAGTAGACATAAAGCTGGTACTTCATCATCTCACTGCAGTGAGCTATAGAGGGTGGAGTGTTTTATAGTCCTGCTATGTCAGTAGGGTATGTAATTTAAATGAAAGACTGCCTGGGCATTATCCTGGCACCAGAACTAATTCAGGTGCCAACTATAGTGGTTATTGTGCCCAAAGAGCTGTTTTAATTAGCATAGCCTCTCTACTTTATGAGCTCACCCGTAAAACCATCACTTCTATACACCATTCAATAATAACTCCCCCAACATGTCAACAGCCGTATTTGCCTCCATCCAAGCCTTGTTTTACAGGTGAGCTCATAAAGTAGACGGGAGTAGAGAGGCTATGCTAATTAAAACAGCACTTCCCTCACCTAAAATTTTACAGAGAAGAAATAATTGACAAACTACTTATGCACAAATATACTGTTTGGAAGGTGTGCAATCACAGTGCCCTCTGAAAACCATATAATGATGTCATCATAGATCTTACATTTTGATGTCACATATTCAGCTTATAGTAACCAATAATAAACTTTCCTCCCAAGCTCAACCCCCTGCTGGGCTCATTTCCTCTGCTTTCCTCCCTCTTTTGAAAAATACAATTTTAAAAAATCATACAATTCATCAATACAATTAATACATTTGTTCAATGAAAACTAATTTAAAAAAAAAAGTTCTGCCCTCTGGCAGAGTTGCTTATTGTACCTGTGTGGATCTTAGCTATATGTTTACCTGGAATGATTTTCCTGTGATCGTATAAATAGAAATGTGTTTTAGAAACAGGTCAGGCCACTAACCACTGTTTTGAAAACGATATATGAATACCTTTCTCAGCGTTAGAAGGACACTATTAATAGTAAGGAAAATGTAAAGAAATGAAATGTCTAAAAAATAGCCTTTGTGAGCAATGTTATTTAGTATAGTTTTATTACTGCGTCCTTCTGTTGCTTTATTAACAGACTTACAGTTTCTTAGTTCATTGAAATGATGTGATTTCAAAGTATTCCTCCTTGTCAGGTGACCTCTAGAATTGTTTAAAATGATCCAGTTAAAATACAAGGCTAGACAGTTATGTGCTCGGAATTCTCTGTACACGGTGTACCTCAGATGTTGTCTGTGATGAATGATGAGACCAGTAGTTTCTTTTATTTTGAAGAAAAACGGAGAGAATACAAATTCTGTACTTAATATTATTTCTTAAAATGCTGTGAACTATCCACTCCGTTCACTCTCACCTTTTATTTCTATTATCTCATTGCACGTTAGTGGTACAAGCGTGTAAAAATATATGCAGTTCTACCTACTGTAAGGCTACCTCCTTTAAGAAATAAAGTCTGCATAATGACTAAGTTTCATTATTTAAAGTCTTTGGCGAAATTAGAAAACTTAAACATGACAAAACAACAACAAAGTCCCAAAGGACAAAATAATCCAGAACCAGGGCCGTCTTTAATGCAGGGCAAACAGGGCAGCTGCCCTGGGCCCTGTTACTGCTGGGGGGCCGAAGGCCCCGTTTGCCCTTTACCCACAACAATTTATTTTGGGATTTGTAAATGTTGCAAGTGTGTCTGAGTGTGTGTGCTTGTCTGCTTGTCATTCTGTCTGTGCGTCAGTTTGTCTGCCAGTGTGTGTGTGTCAGTGTATATGTGTATCAGCATGTCTGGCTGTGTGTCCAGCTGTGTTTGTCAGGATGTCTGTTAGTGTGTGTATCTGTTAGTGTCTATGTGTATGTGTGTTTCAGTATGTCTGGTTGTGTGTATGTGTTCCAGTATGTATGTGTGTATGTGTGCCAGTATGTCTGTGTGTCTGGCTGTGTGTGTGTCAGTATGTCTGTCAGTGTGTCTGTGTGTGTCAGTATGTATGTCAGTGTATATGTTTCAGTATGTTTGTGTGTATGTCAGTGTGTGTGTCTTTGTGTAAGCATGTCTGTCAGTATGTGTCTGTGTATGTTGTCACTTTGTGTATCTATATGTTAGAGTGTGTGTGTGTATCTGTATATGAGTCAGTGTGTATATATGTGTGTGTATCTGTATATAGTCAGTGTGTGTCTGTATTTCTGCATGTGTGTCAGGTTATGTATCTGTGTGTCTGTATGTGTATCAGTGTGTGTCTGTATGTTCTCATGGTATGTATCTGTGTATCTATACGTGGTCAGTGTGTGTATCTTTGTATCTGCATGTGTGTCAGTGTGTGTATCTGCATGTTCTTATTGTGTGTATCTATATGCGGTCAGTGTGTGTATCTGTGTATCTGCATGTGTGTCAGTGATGGTATCTGTAGTTTAGTACCACCACTATGTTGCGGTGGAGGGTGTGATTGCATGTCAGGGAGTGGGTGAGGGGTAGGGGGCCCAATCAATATTAAAGATGGCCCTGCTCAGAACTTGTCTATCATTTGAAATGATACATCTTATTTAAAGAGGTATTTGAGAGACAGACATCAAAGGTGTATTGGGGTAAATAAAACCACCTAGGTAGAGCAAAATATAAGGGATAATTAGATAATAGAATCTACTGTTGAGAGTGTAATAATAGGTTGTATGTTATCCATTTTTGTGTGTGTGTGTGTGCACTGTTCCTTAAGCTGTATTTTGTACATATTTGCACCACTGAGCAGCACTTCTGAGAAATGTGTGTTCGGATGTGCCCCCAATTCCCATTTTACCCCCTTTTTAGATTATCTAGGGGAGATTAATTCCCCCCACTTCCTACACCCATGAAACCAGAGGTATTGATAGGAAAGATGCATTAAATATCCAGTCTATAACTGGTAAAACAAGCAAAGAGCCCCATCAGTTATTTGTTAGGAAAGCCATGTTATCACCGGTATTATAGGTAAAAAGACAATATGACCGTCATTGCACACTGTGTAGGATTTCCTTTTAAATGACAGCATCAGTTGTACGATGTTTCTGCCCAATACACTGCAAGCGCTGCTTAAACCAACTGAGTCGAGCAGGTTGATGACCCTTGCATATAGCAATTCATTGCAGCAATTACACAAAGCAGCTGCTGTTTTAGGCAGACGTCAGCTGGTAATAGCTGAATGATTTTACTGTTGCTCATTAAAGGTTGGCTTTGGGTCTGCTATCAAAGGTTCTAGAATTTAGAGCTGAGAGTAGGCTGTATGATATGTGTTCAGCATGGAACACCTCTTTAGTGGAAATGGTCACAGGCCTCATCTATTGAGCAGCAAATAATAAATGCCTACTTTTCTAATTAATGATTCAACATCTTATACAGTATAATTGTATGTAAGTGGAAATTACTCATAGCAGAAAAGACTATGGCATTGA